GTACATCCCTTATCTCCTTCCAATAAACATACATATACAATGTATTTGTAAACATAATCATATATGGACTACATCTCGTTTCTCCTCCCAATAAACATACATATACAAAGTATTTATAACATGATCATATTCAATGACACCAACAATAGATTAGCATTAAATCGCCTAATCCTTATACAATTTTTACAACAATCATGACTATCCTCCACTGATAACCCAATACATTTATCTCTAGACATATATTAAATCTCAAGATAAATAATTATTTAAAACTTCCAAAGGTGTGAGATATTACATATCCAATTTCACCACCTATATCAATAACCATCCAATTTAACTTATTCAATGCTAATTCTAATTATTTATACAAAATAATCATTTTCTCAAATTAGGGCAAAAATTCCCTTTTTCCAATATTGATCCAAACACTCAAAATCAACTATTTTGGTACACCAAGATCGTATATTCAAACCTCATACTCATTTATCTCTCATACATCAAAAATCTCTCTTTTCCTTTCACACCCAAATCTTAGATTTACCCAAATCTTAGATTTGTCCAAACCACAACCAAATCTCATCATCTATCCATAATAGTAAATAACTAAGCTAAAAACCATATTAGAGTGTAGAAAATCCCTACCTCAAGTATTGAAGAAGAATAGAAATGAAACCCCAAAATTTACGGTGTCGAAACTCGACTTCCACCACACACAATGAAGCCCTCGAGAAGTTATACAACTTTGGTGAAGAACGTAGGTCTAAAACCCAATGGATTTGAAGAAATTAAAGAGAGAAGATGGTTTCTAGAGAGAGAGGCTCTATATCCGGATCTTGGAGACTTTTAGAGAGAGAGAGGATTGCAAAAAGTGATCTGAAATGTCACTTTCGTGAGCTGATAAAACGCGATCCGCTCGAGTGTGGAAAGCGCCGCTCGAGTGTAAGACACAGACTCTCGCTCGAGCGTGAAACCCTGCACTCGAGCGTGAAATACGCTCTCCCAGTATTTTTTTGCAGACACAGTCCCCGCTCGAGCGCCTAAATTCCCGCTCAAGCGTGGAACAAAATTTGTGAAGTCCGCTCGAGCGCATAAACGGCTGCTCGAGCGGACAAGCAATTTTGAATGCATTTTTCCTTTTTGCTTCGAGGGGCGCTGCCCTTCGACCCCGCCCAGGCGCTGCCCCGGATCCGTCAAGGGACGCTGCCCTCTGGACCCCCGCGAGCTAACCAGGCAGCTCGACCCCCGACCGGCTCAATCAAAATGGCAAAACGTGAAAGAAGGATCGAAACCGGGATCGCTATATTGTGTTTATTCAAATCACTGTTGATTGGGCTTGAACTAAATTTTACCAATACCTTCATACCAACAAAAGATTTCATCATTATGTAAGAAGAAAAGAAGAACATGAATATTTACCTACTTCACTCCACACCAGTTGGAAATATTAATTTGTAAGTAACCATTGTAACATAGTTATTATACTAAAGAGTTAAGGAAGAGAGAAAGGAACCTCAAAATGTGATGTTTAGGAGAGCAATAATTTAAAGCAAGATGACAACATCAACATTTGACACATTCAATCAATTTGCCAAATCCTATCTTTGAAAAAACCACTAGGGCTGAACTTCCTACATATATACATATATATTACACAGAGCTAAAGAGAACGCATGAGGTCAAGAAATGCGTCCGACACTTCTTAGGAGTTTGACTAAGAAATTAATACATGATTATCAAAATTTTGGAATTTGACAAATCATTGTCTTATACAAGTTGGAAATATATATTTGCTAAGACTAAAGATATTTAAATTTCGCTTAAATTTGTAGAAAAATGCAAAAGGCCTGGAATTCTTTTATTAAAGAAGAGACTTTAGGAGGATGAAGGGCTGATTGTAATTATGTATGCATGCTATACTTTGTCTGTAAGATGAGATAAGATATGGTGATAATAAACTCTTACGGACTATTTAAGCATTCTTGTTACGAGTATGAAATATTTACTTATCATTTCATATTATATAAATATTTATTGTGTACATATATAAGAGATAATAACATAATTCCATTTCTATAACAAGATCATGAGTAGCATTTTCTAGTTGTGTCCGTGTCATATTATTTAAGGATTCACTACGTTGAATTTGTATCCGTTGAATATGTATATGCTTTATAATTAGCTTATTATATCTCATTTATCATTGGGTGCTTGCTTCATGATTAAGAGAGAGAGAGAGAGAGAGAGAGAGAGAGAATTCATTCTAGATAAAGAAAAATAAAAAACCACCTTCTTTGTTTCATAACCTCCCACAAACTACATAAATAAGGAAGATATATGCATATATGTGTCAAATATACATATATCTTACATGAATGTAAGATACCATTGTGACACTAGACCTAGGAAGCATGGATACAACAATGTGATGAAGCCTACAAAAATAGGATACAGGTACAGAGGTGATATGTTTGTAAAAAATATATATTTTTATAATTTCTAAAAATATATTTTGCATTAAAATAAAACTAAAAGCAAGAGTTCATTTATTTAGTTAATATCAAACATTGATTTGGTACTTGCCAAAACCAAAAGCAAGCTAATAAAAAAAATGTACTAAGCTAGGAATCTTCATTCCCAACTCTTACTTGTTCCTTTTCATCTGAGAGAGAGAGAGAGAGAGAGAGAGAGAGAGAGAGAGAGAAAGAGAGAAGGGGGGGGTAGCCTACCTAGTCAGTGATCAACTGATTGTTTGTTGAGATTGTTTGTGTAATTGAGAAAGGTTAAGATTTGAGAGGTGTTTAGATGAGGCTGATTCTTACCTTCTAGCAATTTCAAGTGTTCCATATATCAAGGAAAAGGAAGACGAAGTAAATCCCTCCAAAAAATGTTGTTTCACTTGTTTTATGTGTTTGTTTATTATTGTTATTATTATTTAAGGATTTATGTAACCTATGAGGTATGCAATTTGAGAAAAGGAATTTGTGAAAAAGAAGCACAAGGATGGAAAAAAGAATGAAAACACAAAGGTAAGAAGGTTGCTACATGTTGAGTGCTCTTTGATCAATATATTAATATAAAATGCTAGCACAAAAGAGTTCAAATAGGATTTTGAGATACAATAACACTTAGCAAATAGATTTCCTAACTGAACTAAGCATAAACAAACGCCGACATAGAGTTGAGTATACCTAACCAAACTTAGCATAAACAGATACCAAGATAGAGTTGAGAACAAATTTTCAAGAGGACACCCACCGATTACCTACTACTCTAATGCACAATCCCTACTTATTAATATATAGAATAAAGAGCACTCAACAAGTAGTAATCTTCTTAAGTTCGTGTTATCATTCAGTTTTCCATCCCTCAGCTTCCTCTTCACCAATTCCTTTTCTTGAATTGCATACCTCGTAGATTGCATAAATCCTTACCAATAAATAAATAAAGAAATAAACAAACACATAAAACAAGTAAAATTGTGTTACTTCTGAGATTTACTTCCTCTTCTATATACAGCATTTCAAACTGTTAAAAGACAAGAATCGGCACCTCTCCCGTCTTGACCTTTCCTAATTACATAGACAACATCATGCCAACAAAACATACCAAACATTCAGATAATCATTGACTTGGGTTTGCTCACGTAGGCAGAAGGATATGGAAGGATACAAAACATAACAAATAGTGTGTAGAATGATAAATGGTGGTACTGCTCATAACTTGAACAACTAACATTTGGAATGCACATGCCCTTGTTCGACACTGATCCAAATAACTTTGAGAAATAAAATAGGGCTCAGTGAGACGGTTTAACAAATGAGTTATGCTAGAGACCCCCAATGAATTACCAAATATTCTACCAAATCTCTCACATGGGTGTGGGACTCACACAAATCACATGCGTGTGGGTCTCACACCCATATGAGAGATTTGGTAGAATATTTGGTAATTCATTTGGAGTCTATAGCATTTTCCTTAACAAATCTGTGTAGTATAAAAAAGCGTAGAAGAAAATATGTAAACTTCAAAAATCTAGCAAGAAGAAAGAACCCTGATAACTCAACAGCTTAAAGCATCAAACTACACAAAACAAAACAAAATCCAAAAAAATAAAGAAACCAAAACTACCACCAAAGTGTCATAATAGGTTTACCTTGATAAAGAATGAACATCTCATACCAGATCTAAAATTTAGCACACACTTTTCCCATTGGGAAAAAGGACAAGTAGTCGAAAAGTTAAGAGAAAACTGCGAAAGTTGCGCAAGATCAAACTAGCAAGCTAAGTTGCTAAAAGTGAACCGCAAACTCCAGGACACACTTAAACAGTCTAATCTATTGTCCCTTTTCTGGTTTATTTCTCCTAACCATGCATTGAGATTTTTACCTTTAATACTAATACCAATTTTTACATGGTAGCAAGAAACAAGAACTTTATTCCTCATTGTGCCACATAACATGATATACATAAATCTTGATTGGATAATCAAGGAAAAGCATAATTACAAAAAACAAGAAAGGAAGGGGAAAAAAAAAGTACAAAAATAACAAAAAAAGTTCAATTTGATCAGAATAGTTTGCAAATCACTTCAAAGTTCATATTGCCATTTGTTGCACTATAAAAGAGCAAAAGAATACTTGCTCATACTACAAAAATTTAGTCTTCCGGAGAAGAAAAAACGTTGTAGGTACACCGATTTGTATCTCTTAGTTCATTGTGTTTGCGATGTGTTATTTGTCAAATATATATACACTAGCAAATTACTCGTGCCTAAAGGCTCTCCCAACACAATTTGTCACAATTAAAACCAATTACATCTTACTCTATTGACTCCCTTTGTCCCTAGTTTAGTTTATTCATGAATCATTTAAATTAGTAACAAAATTTCAGACAAGAAAAAAGGTTGTACACAACCAAATAATCAATTTCAATTTATTAAAATATAATTATGGCCTATCATATAATTCATAGTCTTTGATAAAATAAAAAAAACCCAATTAAAAATGTAAATCAATTCAATACTTAATTACTAGTAGAGATATGAAGCATTAATAGTCACTGTATCAAGATACAAAGTGATAACAAATTGTATCGATATTAGAAGTAATAATTGATACATAGTAGAAATTAGATAATTGTGAAATCTTTCAAATCATTGGCACTTCCTAAGCAGAATAACCAAAACCCAACAAAAACAAACCATTCCCAACACAACTTGACCTCAAACAAAACATCCTCTAACAATAATTTTGATCACATATCATAAAAATCAAATTTGTATCCAAAATTAATGTAATCAATAAGTTCCTCAATAATAAAGAAAGATAAATATGGTACGATCAAGCTTCCAAGTTCTAACAACACTTCCTGCTAGAATCATTAATATGTTTGTTATCCAAATCCCACCTGCAATTTGCAGTAGAAAAATAGGCAATTTTGTTTCATGATGAAAAAAGAAAAACTTAACTTTAAAGTTAGGGATAGCACACATGCTGCAAATTCTCAACAATCAATTTGTATGCTTCGAGAACCAACATGTAATAAATACACACGAAAATTCTATGCTGAGAATGACATAAAACCTGGCATTATAGTCTCCTATAGCAATAGCAAGAACATCCTACTTTGGCAATTTGACTGCATCAGTTCAAAAGTAGACAAAAAATTATAGACTCGTTAACTAACTTCAATTCACTATCATGGTAATTGACTACAACAAACAATAATATCTAATAAATAAGAATTATCCATGGTTAGGCACCTATATGAATAAATCCAAATGTTTTCTGCAAATTCTACTGGCTGCAATAATTTGAAATAACTTGTAAAAATCAAGAACCTTTATGCCCAACACCTTTACCGGTGCAAATCCAATGCCTCAACTCAACCATAGAATATCCACCAGTAAAATACCAGAAGAATCATAGAATATCCAAGAATTTAAATTCATTGAGACATGAACTGAGGGCAAAAGCAAGTGCGGTTAATAGATAATCTAGTGTGTTAGTGTATATTAGTGCTTGTAATGATGTTAGTAGTGTATAGCTGTTAGTAGTGTATATTTCCTTTACTTTTACTTTACTTTATTAGTGCCACTTTCGGCCACTTTAGGCTCCCACTTTTGGCTCCTCTCCTATATAAACGAGCTCAACAATTTATCTTACATCGTGAATTCATGGATTATTCAAGTTGAACTGATGTATCCAGTAAGAATTTAGCTCGTAGGTGTGGTTAATAATAGGAATTCTTGGATCTGCTAAAACAGAAGGAAAAATAATATTAATATTCATAAGATAAAGCTTCCCTTTGGAATTTTACCACACGGAAAAAATCATATACATAAGTTTCCTTAATTTTGGCTTAGTATCAAATGCATGTCCTTTTATCATGGATGTTAATCTCTAAGTTACATATCAATTTTTTCTTTTAATCATTTTTTGTAAAAGAACTAAAGCAAAAGTTCATTTTCATCCACATAAATTCATGACTCTTGCAAAATCAATGTGTTGAATCACATTGCATTAAAGTTCATGACCCAACAATTATAGAATTTGGTGGAGATCATAACTCATTCATTACATTGAAGCCCCAATTAAATTAACAAAGTAAAAGAATTCAATTCAATTGACAAACATTCAGCACATGAAATTGACTAAGATACAAAAATACATTCAAAAGAACCCATTGAGAAATAAACTTGGTTTGGATTTATTCATGTATATATAAATATTGTCTAGAATTACTTTTATTCTTGTATTTGTCCTTATTTTTGTTTTCTGTGCATGTGTCATTCATGTTATTTTTATGTATATTGCAATTTAATTTACTTATGCTCCATGTTTGTATCCATTCTTGTTTGTTCATCATCTGAAAACAGGAATATTATCGCGAATTGTCTTGATTCGTGGAGTTCAAACCTAGTCTCAACCCTTTAGTGGAATAAATAGAAGTGATTTTGAGCACCAAATATGCCTTATTCATAAGTGTCAATTAATTACTTTTTATCTTTTTCAAATCAAATAGAGCTTGCAATAAAAATTTCTCCGGTGGAGAAGATCAGTCGCCTTGAATAGGCAATTAATCAGTTGAGTGGGGTATGATGTAGTCGATTTTGAGAATCTCTCTATACCCCGGAATTAGGCTCTGTATGATTTTAAGTGGCCATAGATAAGTATACTAGACCAAATGAATAACAAAATAAGAGAAAAAGAGGTTTTTGCTTACGTTTGACATGACGTTCTTAGTGTTTAGGGTAACTACACATAGAAACATATATATTTAATTATGAAACTTGTCAAAACTAAATTGCATAATATACCTGTCACCTCTTCAGTATTTGAGAATCCCATATATTGCTCAATCAAAAGTTGTGATCCTTTGTAAGGCTCTGGTCATTTGAGTAAAACATTTATATACATCATCAAACTATTGCAAAGCTAGAACCATGAGTTGCTAAAATTACGTTGGAACTTTGTTAATTATAAATACAAAATAAGAAAGAGAAAGTTAGAGCAACATTCATACCTCAAATATAGTAGATAATCAAATCATCAAGCTGGTGAGCATGGTTATACACCATGGGAACCACCCAAGCCACCCCATGGCGCACTCCTTAAGTCGCCACCTTGGTGCACCACCAAATTCTTCTACAACGGTCCGGCATGACCCCGTAAACTGTCCCGACATTGATTCTGGTTAGCTCCTACAACGGTCTGACACGACCATACAGTGTCTCCTATCCTATTTTATTTTCACGTTTTGTTACTCTCTTCAAACTCAAGTTGGTTAGTTCCTATCCTCCTTGAGTTTGAGGGGGGATGTTAGTGTATATTAGTGCTTGTAATGATGTTAGTAGTGTATAGCTGTTAGTAGTGTATATTTCCTTTACTTTAACTTTACTTTATTAGTGCCACTTTCGGCCACTTTAGGCTCCCACTTTTGGCTCCTCTCCTATATACACGAGCTTAAGTGAACCTTTGTAACACATCTATCAATAACATCAATAACATCTCATTTATGCATTTGCTCTCTCTCTCTCTCTATCAATTTATCTTACATCGTGAATTCATGGATTATTCAAGTTGAACTGATGTATCCAGTAAGAATTTAGCTCGTAGGTGCAAATCCAGAACCTTTATGCCCAACACCTCAACCGGTGCAAATCCAATGCCTCAACTCAACCATAGAATATCCACCAGTAAACTACTAGAAAAATCACAGAATATCCAAGAATTTAAATTCATTGAGACATGAACTGAGGACAAAAGCAAGTGCGTTTAATAAATAATCTAGCGAATTCATGGATTATTTAAGTTGAAATGATGTCTCTAATAAGAATTTAACTCGTAGGTGTGGTTAATAATAGGAATTCATGGATATGCTAAAACAGAAGGAAAAAAAATATTAATATTCATAAGATAAAGCTTTCCTTTGGAATTTTACCACATGGAAAAAATCATATATATAAGTTTCCTTAATTTTGGCTTAGTATCAAATGCATGTCCTTTTATCATGGATGTTAATGTCTGAGTTACATATCAATTTTTTTCTTTTAATCATTTTTTGTAAAAGAACTAAAGCAAAAGTTCATTTTCATCCACAAAAATTCATGCCTCTTGCAAAATCAATGTGTTGAATCACGTTGCATTAAAGTTCATGACCCAACAATTATAGAATTTGGTGGAGATCATAACTCATTCATTACATGGAAGCCCCAATTAAATTAACAAAGTAAAAGAATCCAATTCAATTGACAAACATTCAGCACATGAAATTGACTAAGATACAAAAATACATTCAAAAGAACCCATTGAGAAATAAACTTGGTTTGGATTTATTCATGTATACATAAATATTGTCTAGAATTACTTTTATTCTTGTATTTGTCCTTATTTTTGTTTTCTGTGCATGTGTCATTCATGTTATTTTTATGTATATCGCAATTTAATTTACTTATGCTCCATGTTTGTATCCATTCTTGTTTGTTCATCATCTGAAAACAGGAATATTATCGCGAATTGTCTTGATTCGTGGAGTTCAAACCTAGTCTCAACCCTTTAGTGGAATAAATAGAAGTGATTTTGAGCACCAAATATGCCTTATTCGTAAGTGTCAATTAATTACTTTTTATCTTTTTCAAATCAAATAGAGCTTGCAATAAAAATTTCTCCGATGGAGAAGATCAGTCGCCTTGAATAGGCAATTAATCTGTTGAGTGGGGTATGATGTAGTCGATTTTGAGAATCTCTCTATACCCCGGAATCAGGCTCTGTATGATTTTAAGTGGCCATAGATAAGTATACTAGACCAAATGCATAACAAAATAAGAGAAAAAGAGGTTGTTGCTTACGTTTGACATGACGTTCTTAGTGTTTAGGGTAACTACACATAGAAACATATATATTTAATTACGAAACTTGTCAAAACTAAATTGCATAATATACCTGTCACCTCTTCAGCATTTGAGAATCCCATATATTGCTCAATCAAAAGTTGTGATCCTTTGTAAGGCTCTGGTCATTTGAGTAAAACATTTATATACATCATCAAACTATTGCAAAGCTAGAACCATGAGTTGCTAAAATTACGTTGGAACTTTGTTAATTATAAATACAAAATAAGAAAGAGAAAGTTAGAGCAACATTCATACCTCAAATATAGTAGATAATCAAATCATAAACGCCTTACCCCAAGCTTAATAGCAATCACAACGAGAGTCCATCGTTGGCATGATAAGGTTTTTGGCATATATTGGTTTCTTGGTTTGGTTATTTTCTTTACCTGAGCTTCCACAAAGGTGGTAGACTGAGAACCCAAGGGTGGTCGCATTGCATGGAACGATCGAGTCAGTAACGACAAAGTCCATGAACCATGTTGAACGCTAGTATGAACAATATTTGACTTTTGATAGAACAAGAAACAAGGAAAACATCACAAATCAAAAGAAGAAGATATACAGCGCGCGCACACAAAAAAAGGAAAAGATAAAGAAGGAAAGGAAAGGGAGATATTGGCAAAAGTAGAATGAGATTGGGAGGGGAGGAGTTTTGGGGTTCAGGGGAGATCAGAAAGGGGTGCTGGAAAATGGAAGCATCTAGTAAAAGTGAATAAATGGCATTAACAGTATGGTTTGAACGCCCAAACCTTAATTTGGCACGTGTTGGATGACATTGGGACGATGTGGGATCTTGACTACATATGGGCTAGAGCATATATGACTTTATGGGTTTAGAGGAATCTCCATTAAAGATACATTTAACACATGTATTTCATTAATTGTATTCATCCATTGTTAGGTTCATTCCATATCATATTTCTCTAGCGGCATCTATGCTTAGTTTCATTCATCACATAACAGATTCATTCCATCTTGACTGCTAGGGAATATCAATAGACTTTGCGTTAAACACATCCTTGTAAAACATACAAATTGATGCAAGTAAAAGTGATGCAAAATATAAGAAGCTCAAGGACATTAGCATGATTTCAAATAAAAATTGATGAAATCTTATGTAATTATGTTTCTAGAATTATTAGAGTCTTATTTGATGATTATTTTTATATTTTCTATGATTTTTAGGTTAGGGGTATTTTGGTAATTTTCAAATTTACTAACATGGGCTGTAGGGGTCGCCCATGGTTTGTCTTGTGGGCAAGTTATTTAATTGGTCTTTTATTTATGTTTCTTATTTGATCATAGAATAGTTTTGGAATTCAAAAGTATAAAGTTTCCTGTTTTAGAGTTCTAGTTGGTTTAATAATTCTGCTAGTTTTATGTAAAGCCATGTCATGTTTATAATTTAATAGAGTTGATATTTTATAGAATTTTCAGAACTTTGATGCTTCTTTATGCATTGTGTGATGCAATCAAACCCTAGGTGTGATGCCTAAAGGATTCTAGGAGTGATTCCTAGACCTATCTCCTTCCTTGTTTCTTTCTTTCTTAAATTTCAACCCTTTTACAGCCCAAGAACAGCCTCTAACAGTGTTGTCCTGCGTCAGTTTGGTATCAAAGCTTAAGGTTTCACCATTATGTTCTCACCAAGTGGGGGATCCTATGTGCCATAATATGTTATACGGTTATACCCCATAACAAAGAAGTTCCAGATTTTAAAGGAAGAGATGATCCTATGGTGATCCCTAATTGGCTTTGTTTCTATTGAGGAATATTTTGATTGCTATGATTGGACAGATGATCGGAAAGCGAGATTTGCTACGATGAAACTTGTAGGTTCAGCACAGCTATGGTGTTATCATGTTGAAGAACATAGAAGAAGATTGGAATTGTCACCAATAAATACATGGCAAGAGATGAAAACTAAGCTTCAAGAGAAGTATATGCCTTCAAATAATCTTGTTGAGTCACATGAGCAACTTGTTAATTCAAGACATGGCAACACATTGTTTGAAGAATACATGCAAAGACTTGAGGCACTTGACCCTTGAAATCAAGTTGTGGTTGAATCATGTCAAAGACTTTTATCTGGTCTCGAGTTGACTTAAGAAGTCTCCTAGGTCTATATAAAGCATATAATGCTTCTAATTTAATAGAATCAATAGTTTAGAGAATTTGAAAAGCTTTGAAGCTTTCTTATAGATTGTGTGATGCAATCGAACCCTAGGGGTGATGCCTAACGGATTCCAGGAGTTCACCAATAAATACATGGCAAGAGATGAAAACTAAGCTTCAAGAGAAGTATATGCCTTCAAATAATCTTGTTGAGTCACATGAGCAACTTGTTAATTCAAGACATGGCAACACATTGTTTGAAGAATACATGCAAAGACTTGAGGCACTTGACCCTTGAAATCAAGTTGTGGTTGAATCATGTCAAAGACTTTTATCTGGTTTCAAGTTGACTTAAGAAGTCTCCTAGGTCTATATAAAGCATATAATGCTTCTAATTTAATAGAATCAATATTTTAGAGAATTTGAAAAGCTTTGAAGCTTTCTTATAGATTGTGTGATGCAATCGAACCCTAGGGGTGATGCCTAACGAATTCCAGGAGTGATTTCTAGACCCATCTTCTTTTCTTTTCTTTTCTTTCTTGAATTATTTTCTTCTTTTCTGTTTCAGTTTACTGTTCACAAGCTACTATTCACAGCTCCTAGACAGTCCCTATTTTGATCTTTTCACCCAGTTTATCAATCCTAAACCTAGTTCATTTCATTTATTAATTGAAGTCATAAATTTCCTATTGATTTTCAGCTTTAAGTAGCCATAAAAACCCACCGAAATTTTTAAAGGCCTTATACCGCTGTCCCTAATTGTCCTGCATTAGTTTGGTATTAAAACCTAAGATTTCACCATGATTTTTTCACATTGTGGGAGATCCTCTACAAGTGGATTGACTTGGGAAGAGGGTAAAGCGCTTCTTAGAGAAAAAAATTCGTCTAAAGGATCTTCAAGATGATTTGCTTGATCGGTTGTATGTTCCTGAGTAGGGTGATATGCGTTTGATTGATTATGCAAGAAAATTCAAGAAATTATTTGTCAAGTGTGGAGTAGTAGAAAGTGAACGGATGACTATTGCTCGTTTCAAAAGTGGATTGAGATATGGAATCAAATAAGAGATGTCTCATGTATATATAGAAGATCTCGAAGATGCTATTGCAATGACAATACAATTTGAATTTTTTTGTATAACTTAAAAAGAAATATACAATTTTGAAGCTTGTGCAGAATGCAAAGGCTGTCCAGCAAGACCAGCCAACAAAAACTCCAAAACAAAGGGTTAAGGTGCAACAAAAAGATGCTAAAAATTCATAGCAAGATGCACCACGCAGTTGAAGTTTCAAAGCAAGGAATATGTTTAAAATTTGCCTAACAAGAATAATTGACAGATTATGAATGTTGGGAAGCCACCAATTGAAGCCCATGTATATATAATTATTTTATGTTTTCTAAGATTTTAAGGCCACGAATATTTTGGTAAATTCATAATTTTCTAGACATGGGTTATTGTTTTGGTAATAGAAACGAGGCTGGAGAGAGTATTTTAGATTTTTTGTGGGCTTCTAACTTGGTGGTGGCCAATACTATATATAAGAAGAGAGAGGAGCATTTGATAACATTTAAAAGCGGGTCAATTGGAGCCAAATAGATTAATTTCTAGTAAGAAAAGTGAACCGTATAAATGTAGCGACTGTAAGGTGATTCCTGGAGAGAGCCTGACATCCCAACATAGGATTTTGGTACTAGATTTATGCTTTAAAGGGCAATACTAAGCTAGGAAATATTTTGGGTGTCGTAGGACAAGATGGTGGGACCTAAAAGGGGATAAATTAGAAATATTTATGAATAGAATAAATAAAGAAGCTACTTGTTACTTGGAAGATGATGCTAGCACTATGCGGAACTCGATGACCAATTGTATGAGGAGAATTTTAAAGAAAGTCCTTGGAGAGTCGAAAGGAAAGTGACCAAACTCTTAGGAAACTTGGTGGTGGAGGGAGGATGTTCAAGCGGTAGTAAAGGCAAAAAATAGTGCTTTAAAAAGTGGTAGAAGAATAGAACTGAGGAAAACTTTAAGAGCTACAAGTTGGCTAATATGGAGGTCAAAAAAATAGTGAGAGAGGTAAAGCTGAAAACTTATGATGATCTATACACTGAATTAGTAAGGAGGAAGAGAAAAGAATATACAAACTAGCTAAAACAAGAGAGGAAAACAACAAATTTTAATCAGGTTAAGTGCATCAAGAGTGAGGATTCTAAGGTGTTGGTGAAGGATGAAGAGATTAAGGAGAGGTGGAAGAACTATTTTGAGAAGTTAAATGAAGAACATGGAGGAATGTCAAAAGGGGAGGAAGTAGCCAGTAATAAGGAAAACCATGACTATAGGTTCTATCGCAAGATTTGGAACTTTGAAGTGGAGTTTGCACTTAAGATGAAATTGAATAAGGCTTTAGGACCCGATGATATCTCTATTGAAGCTTGGAAATGTTTGGGTAAGAAAGGGGTTGCTTGGTTGACTAGGTTATTTAGTAAGATTTTGTTAACTAGGAAAATGCCAGAGGAGTAGAGGAAAAGTATTTTAGTGTTGATTTATAAGAATAAAGGAGATGCTCAGAATTGCAACAATTATAGAAGAATCAAGCTAGCATGTTATATAATGAAAGTGTGGGAGAGAGTGATAGAATGTCGATTACAAGATATAACAGATGTGTTAGATAATCAAATTATATCTATACCTGGTAGGTCAATAATGGAAGCAATCTACCTTTTGAAGAGAGTAATAAAAAAGTATAAAGAAAAGAAAAGAGACATTAATATGGTTTTTATCGATCTTGAGAGAGCATATGATGAAGTGCCTCGAGATATAATCCGATGGGGGTTAGAGAAGAAAGGGGTGACAAAAGGTTACATTAATGTGATTAGAGACATGTATAAAGTTTTGGTGACCATTATTAGATCGCCTGCGGGAGAGATAAGTGAATTTCCAATTACTATAGGGTTACACCAAGGATCAACCTTAAGTCCTTATCTTTTTGCTTTAGTCATGGATGAGTTGACGAGAAATATATTGAATGATGTGCCATGGTGTCTGTTTTTTGCAGATGATATTGTGTTAGTTGATGGGACTAGAGGAGTTAACACTAAGTTGGAGACTTTGAGAGAATCACTTGAATCTAAAAGATTTAAGATAAGTAGAACTAAGACAAAATACATGGAGTATAATTTCAGTAACAGTAATAGTGGAAGCAGAGGAGAAGTGA